ACCAGGACTTCATCAGAGCGCATCTCACAGGGAATTCCCCTCAGCCATCACCACTAGTCGCTCTTGGAGCGGGAAGCAACCTGGACTTCCATACTGGCGTGAAGAGAGCGCTGAGCACCAAGGCAGGAGGTGGGGCGAGGGTCAGTGATGGCAGAGAAGCCACTGCAAAGGCACCCACCCTGCCTGCACCAGTTACTATGCCTCTGCTCCCTGGAGCCGGCGGGGCCGGAACGGAGGTGCACTGGGGTAAATGAAGGGATACTGCTTGGGTGACTCTGGGCCCCACACCAGACCCCTCTCAAGTGGAGATGCTAACAGACCTACGTCTAGTCCTGTACCACCTCGTGGACAAGTGAGCAGCAGCTCCTTTCTGCTGATGGAGGGAGAAGTCGCAGGAGTCCAAGCAGGCCAGACCCCACCTCCTCCCCAGCTGGCAAGTCTCTGGCTCCCCACTGAGCTGCTCACTTTGTTGTTCCAACTAAACATCCTCCTTGCTCCCAGCCCTTTCACTCTTTGCAAACCACTCAGTCCCTTGAACCTTTCAGACCAGGCACCCCCCCTAGGAGGACACCCCCCTAGCAGAAGCCCATGCCTGTACTGGTTGATGAGTCTCCTGTGGCATTTAACTTTCTGGACCATCATTACTAACGTGCTCGTCTGCCCCTCAGCACTAGATTCTACTGTCTTGAAAGGAAGGACCTGTTTCTTAAATTTGGATTTCCAGCCGCCTGGCACTACCTAGGCACTCGACAGAACAATCACAATGATGTCATGGTGAGAACGAGTCGCTAGTGACAGAAGCAAATACCAGGCGCATCCCTCTGGCCCTAGACATGGCTTCCAAGCCTTCTGCTCACTGGAACGTCATCTTTGATCTGTGAGCATATAAGAGGAGCCATGCTTCCACTACCAGTGAAGCGTCTCGCATAAAAATAGCTCTATGAATCATAAAAGAAAGAAATAACAGCAATAGAATGTTAATATGATAACGAACCGAATAAATATTCGTGAAAATTAACATAGGAAAAGATGCTTTATGCGTTAATAATTAAAGAAGCATGAGTTAAAAATATCTTCCCCTCCTCTAGATGGGCAACAATTCAAAACAAGAACACCCAAGGCTGGCAAGCGTGCGAGGGAGACAAGCAAGTTCACATCCCGGAGGCCAAAGTGGAAAATCGCACCACTCTCCAAAGGGCAGTTTGGCAAGGCCTAGCGCTCTGAGCCCTTGTTCCTTACAGGAAATTTATCTTCAGAAACACGTGCACAAATCCACAAAGCCATAGTATAAGAGATGCTGCAACACTGTTTAGCCAGGGATTGCAAGCCTTGTCCTATGTAAGTATTTTTGGCTTCGTAAGCTACACTCTCGCAACCCCTCAGGTCTGTCAGCTGGGGCAGAAGAGCCGCCCCAGACGACGTGAACAAGCCTGTGTGGCTACGTTCCGACATGCGTGATGAGGGAAGTCGGCCAACCCGGCTTCAGGCTAACCAAGATCTTAATCAATAGGCAATCAGCTTGACAAATTGCAGTATTCTGTGGAGTGAGACAGCTATTACAAAGGGCAAGTTCGATGATGGACATCTGAAAGTACTGATGTGGAAACTTCACCTAGAGACAGCAGCTCTAGATGAAAAAGCAAGTTTCCAAATTGTGTGTGTGTATTGTGTGTGTGTGTGTACATATATAAAACAGAAATGCATTATAGATATATATTATATATGGTTGCTTTCTTGGTTTCTTTTCTATTTTTGCAAAAATCACCTGCAAGTATATTCACAATTGTATTAAATATTTCTTTGGTTTCTTACTGCATATTTCTGTCGCTTCCCTAAGGGTTGTTTCTGATTAGTGTGATCACCACCACTCTGGCATGAACTGGGCAACGCATGACCACAGGCTCTTAACAGAGAACAAAAGATACAATGTGCAAGGTTATTTACTCTACCACACAATTTTCACATCATGTTGACACATTCAATATAATTCTTTCACATTGACCATATCAGGGAGATACTGTCACTATCCCTACTTTATAAAAGAAACAACTACAGAATAATTTAGGCAAAGTCACAAGCCAATTAAGTGGTGGAGCCAGGACCTGAACCGAGGACTGAAAAGAGGTGACTTGCTGAATCCTTGCTCTGTTCTGCCTCCACAGCCACACCCCACTATTAGACACACGACTCTTTCCTATAATATTCCTAAAAGTGCTGACATCATAACCATGGAAATAATTCAGTAACCCCACAATATCCCAAACAAAATGACGGCATTACTCCTACTGCTGTAACAACAGCCCTTGATTCAGCCCTTCCCTTACTGACAGGCACTCTTTTAAGCATCTCACATGAATGAACTCCTTTTAGTTCCCACAACCCAATGGGGAAGTATCATTCCCAATATATAGAGGAAGAAAATGAGGCACAGCTAGGCAAGGTCCGCCAACTCAAGGCCAGTCAACCCAAAGTCAGCCAGATCAAGGTCAGTTAACCAATGTCAGCCAACACAAGGTCAAACAACTCAAGGTCAATGAACCAATGTAGCCAACCCAAGGTCAGCCAACACAAGGTCAGCCAAACCAAGGTCAGCCAACTCAAGGTCAGCCAATTCAAGGTCAGCCGACCAAAGGTCAGCCAACTCAAGGTCAGCCAACCCATTTCAGCCAACTCAAGGTCAGCCAACCCAATGTCAGCCAACCAATATCAGCCAACCTAAGGTCAGCCAACTCAAGTTTAGCCAACCCAAGGTCACCCAACCCAATGTCAGCCAACTCAAGGTCAGCCAACCAATATCAGCCAACTCAAGCTCAGCCAACTCAAAGTTACCCAACTCTCGGTGAAGGAGCCAGTGAGTGAATGAGCTCCAGAATCTACAGAGCACCCCTAACTATGACCTATGCTTTCTCTACGTGAAAGTCTTTCCTCTGTTTGAATCGAAAGTCCCTCAATAAGCACATTTAGAAACCAACTGAACCAAAATAATATCAAATAACTGAGAATGAGTTGGTTAACTCATTCTTACCCATTGGTGTTTTAGAAAGGACTGATCTCATCTCTTCTAGAAACCCCCAGACCGGGACTCCCAAGCTCAGGACACAGCGCACCTTGGGCGTCATGCTGTTGGTGATGCAGAAAGCCAGGTGCTGCAGGATGCTCTCCATGCTGTGGTAGTGCTGCTGCCGGGTGGTACGCAGGTACTTCTGCAGGGCCCGGGCCATGGAGGGGAAGATGGCCTGGGCGGCCTCGCGCGGGTCCATCACCTCCCCGGGGGCTTTCTGCTGCTCTTCGGCCTGCAGACGCTGGATGTGGATGAAGGCCTCCTCCACAGCGACCACCAGCCTGGAGGCAACGAGACATGGTGAGCAGGTCAGTGCCATCTGCAGGGTGAGGACAGCCGTCAGCAGGACCTCGTGGCACCTGCCCAGCCGCTGCACCCCAGTCTGCCACCTGCTTACCCAAAGTCTACATCCTTCACTGTTACTCCAGATGGCTGAGCAGGGAGGGTGGGGGCAGGGGCACTGGGGCTGTTCCTAACTCTGCCACCAGCCAGCATGGGAGACTCACCTACACCTTTCTCATCTCGACAGTGAAGGGTTAGACAAAAAGAATAGTAAGATGCCTTCAACTCTGCCCACGAAAAGCGCTGCACACACTGAGGGGTGGCTGATGGCTCAGAAACCACACTTACAAAGAAGGGAGTTCTACCCACTGTCCCCCCATCCAGCTGTCCACTCCAGAAGTCCCTGGGAAAAAGCACGGAAGAGACCTGGCACACCGATGTGGAAACCTCCATTCACCTCAGTTAATATGATCAGACCTCAAAACCAGCAAGAGCCTGAGGGCACAGGACAGGGCCAGCCAGAGAGCGGGCCCGGGGCCAGCAGCTCCCTCATCAGCTGGGAATTTGTCAGCAGACGCCATGCCAGGCCAACCCCAGCTCCCGGGCAGGCAGCAGCCTCGGAGGTGGGGCCGGAAGCTGACAGCTGTGTGTTAACAAGCCCTCCCGGCGATGCCCACGCGAGCTCTAGTGTGAGAACCGCCAGGCAGGACCCGCTCTGAAGGCTTATTATAAACTGAGATTTCACTCCAGGGATTCAAAACGAGTTAGCGACAGGAGGATGTGGCGCGAGGAGGGCGAGTACCTTGCTCTCCGCTTCTTCACCCGCCGCTCGTGCTCGGCCTCCTCGTAGTACAGCTCGTTGTGGCTGGAGTCCCTGCGGCGTGCGGCCGCCGCGATCATGGCCCGGGACTGCCCGGTGGCGTTGTTACTGGGGCCTTTGGGAAGGATGGTGGAGGGAGAATAGTTTCACTGCCATGGGGCTGTGAACCAGAGCAGAACACCAGTACCGTGGCCTTCAGTCCCTTCCAGGCCTCCCCCGTGAAGCATGGACGCACACCCCCCCCCCATAACCACCGAGGAAAACTCCCCAAAGGTGAGCAGGACCCCGCTCTGCATTCGAGATGCTCACAGGACATGTGTCCAAGCCCAGTCTGCTGGCGGGCATGGAACAGGGACTCAGCAGCAGGGATGGAGAACGTTAGGCCCCCTGGGGGCTGAGGACGCTCTCACCATGAGGGACATCAGGCTCAGCTTGGCCACGAGGGCGGCTGGGGCCTCACGTGTCAGCCACGAAACAATGAGGGAGAGAATGAGAGAGGAGAAAAGAGAAAGTCAAGTCTAATCTGGAGCCAGATTAGACACAGGAGAGCACGCAACACAGAGTGTCAGGAGCCTTTTACAGAAAACACCAGAGCCTGAGGCCCAGCCCAGGGCCTCACGGGACAGCACAGACTTAGAACTCCCGGTTCGGTCCTCCACCCAACTGGCCACTGTGATTGATGGGCAAGGCACTCTCGTGCTTTCTGACCTGTCACACGCGGTAAATGGTGTGGTTTTGCTGGTGGTAGTTTTCGCTGTTTGCAGATCACAGGTGAGATTTACCAATTGTGTAGGAGGCAGGAGAAAGTGTCCATCAAATGGCCCTTGCTCCCAGAGGGGGGACCAGCAGGAAGGGTCACGCCAGCCCGAGTGACACCATCTATAAATCACTTGACTTGCTCACAACATGAGCATCCTCTAGGGTTTGCAAAGCCCTCGCCTGACCCATGGTGCCCTGGAAGAAATGACGCCGTGTTCTGTTTCTTGCACTTAAACATCTGATAGCCTGAGTCAAACTCTGGCGGCCCAGCCTGGCCTCTGGGCTCCTGCCACCACTCGGCCCCAGGTCCAGCCAAGATTGAGAAATGCCTGCAAGTGTCTCACCAGATGCCTGAACTGCTGAGAGTTACAGCCCTAACGGATCCGGGTGGCTGAGTCTTTGGCTAATTTATCCAAATTTTGAAAAGCAAGCCTTTCCTAATAGCTTTCAATATAAGACGTTCCCAGCAGGAGGCAGGAAACACACATCACTATCGTTTTCCATCATAAAATCCCCAGATGAATGACTCTCCCACGTATGTAAACTGTAAATCAACATTCCTCGGATAATGTTTTTCTGGGCAAAAAAAAAAAAAAGAAAGAAAGAAAGAAGAAAGGAAAGAAAAGGAGAGAAAGAAGAAATTGTCCTGAAATGAGAATGGGCCATAAAGACAAACACTGAGAGGAAGAAAAACCACATGGCCCATCAGTGGGAGCTGGGTCGCCCCCAGCGCTCCCCACCCCCAGGGCCGCCGGTGCCTACCGTCCACGTTGTAGACCTTCAGCCCGGCCATGTGCTTGGCAGCTCGGAACTTGGAGGCTGTTAGGAGGTTGGGGTTATAGATGCTGAAGTCTTTATAGTAGTTTTCCAGAACCACCAATGCTGCTCGCTGGATACTGAGAAAAGAAGACAAAATTAATGCAAAGCTTTCCCCCTGAATGAGCAGGTCCTAAGTGAAAAAAACATTTTGGAGTTGAGTAAAACAACAGAACGCAGCCTCCGTCCCCCACACAGCCTGCTGCTCTGCACCCAACCTTCTGTCTCCAGGGTGAGAACTCAAAGACAAAACTAAGTTTCATGAGGTCAGTGGCTGCCAGCACCCCTCCTTGTGACGTCAGCACCCCTCCTTGTGACGTCAGCACCCTCCTTGTGACGTCAGCACCCTCCTTGTGACGTCAGCACCCCTCCTTGTGAC